ATCTCGGTTACTGTAAGAGATATCAAAAAGTTCTCAAATGATAAAATATAGCTGATATTATGATAAACATTTTATCAGTTCACGCTCTCCCACAGAACAATTCCGAGCTGCAAATTAATTTTTGATCTACAGAAAAAAGTTTGACGCGATCACAATTGCAGGTCTAAAACCATAATTTCAGAATTTTTTATCTGATTTTGTGGAGTTCCAAGATGATTCAAATAATTCTTTAAAAATTAATTAGTGGTTATAGATTCATGTATGGTCGTTTTCGGGAAGAAAAAATGTCAAAAATGGTAATTTTGAAAGTTTTTTACAGAAAAAATCTATCTCCTCTTTCAGTTTTTGACATTTCTAGGAGTTCTATAGCTCAAAAAAACGACAATTTTTTTCTCTACGTGTTCTATGGATGAATTTTTAATTTGTCTGAAAAAACTTTTTTTATAATCAAAAAACAACGCAAAAATGCTATTTTGTGCAATTTCATGAGGTTTTTGAATTATAAAAAAGTTTTATCAGACGAATTAAAAATTCGTAAATAGAAAATGTAGAGAAAATAATTGCGGTTTTTTTGAGCTATAGCCTATAGAACTCTTAGAAATGTCAAAAACTGAAAGAGGAGATAGATTTTTTCTGTAAAAAACTTTCAAAATGATCATTTTTGACATTTTTTTTCCGGAAAAGGACCATACATGAATCTATAACCACTAATTAATTTTTAAAGAATCATTTAAATCATCTTGGAACTCCACAAAATCAGATAAAAAATTCTGAAATTATGGTTTTAGACCTGCAATTGTGATCGCGCCAAACTAAAAGTACCGTTAAATCTGTTATTAGAAAGTTAAAGGAAATTGATCAAATTTATCTCGGACCCTTTAAGAGATATCAAAAAAATGTTCAATTGATAAAATATTTGTGATAATATGATAAATATTTAATCAGTTGACAATATTTTGCTATCTCTTACAGAAAAAAGAGAAAATTTGAGTCAAAGTTGACAAAACCTGTGATATGAGGGACTCTTGAGAGATATCAAAATTATGTCAACTGATGAAGTATGTTTGATAATATGATACACATTTTATCAGTTGACCACTTTTTGATATCTCTCACAGAAAATGAGATAAATTGTCTCAAAGTCGAAAAGCTTTTCTTCGAAAAAAGTTTCAGAATTGCAGTTTCAAATGAAGGTTACTGTAGAGAACTAGGTTTTGAGAAAATTGAAAATCCTAATATAGAATATTTGAAACTTTTGAAAAGAAAATATATCCGGAGAACTGATTAAGCGTTAATTTAGAGCAGTTATAAGTTAGAGCATGAAATTGAAAATTTCAATAAAAAATTCAAAAAATTACATATTTATGCTTAAAAAAATGCTTCAAATTGTATTAGCTGGTCTGGAAAAACAGCAAAAAATTTAAGAAACACCTAAATCCAGAAGAAAAAACATTGAAAAACGAGATTTTTCGAGACATATTACTTTTGAATTAAGAGATTCTACGATTTTCGGAAACTTTTGGAAATTTTTTCAAATATTGGAAATTCTTTTATTTTTGGAATTTTCAAAGTACTTTCGAAAATATAAGAGAATTCTAAAAATTCTGAAATTCATTAGACTTTTGTTCTAAATTTTGTACTTTTCCCAAATTAGGACCACCTCCCCAAAAATGAAATTTTAGAACTTATTTAATCCAAAAAACCCGAAAAAACTAAACCCCAAGTTTCGGAAAAAAAAGAAGGATCCCAAAAGTTAAATAAATAATTTAAAAGGGCTCAAATTTTCGAATTTCGGGAAGGGGCCAAAACGTCGGACCCAATCAAATCCCTACAATTTCTTGTTGTTGTTGTTGTTGTTGTTTTTCTCTGCGTCTCTCTAATTCTAATACTCTCTCACTTTCAAGCTTTGGAGTCCAATATTGTCAAAGAGGGTGAGCAGGGTGGGGTGCTGATTAATTAGGATAATTGGGGAGAGAGAGAGAGAGAGAGAGAGAGAGAGAGAGAGAGAGAGAAAAGAAGGAAAAGAAGGAAGGAAGGATGAGTGAGCAATTAGAAATGGAAGAGGTCTATAGAAGATCTTTGAGTTCTAGACTTAAAAAAGTTTGCTGGGACTCAAAGGACCAGAAAAATGGTTTTCGAATTTCCCGCGCAACCCCAAAGCCCAAAGAAAAAGAAAGATCCAGAAGCGTTCGGGCGGTGCTTCAAAACCGAAACGTCGTCAAAAATGCCGAAATTTTTCTGGGAAGAAAATGATGGCTAAGAATGAGAAGAAGGAGAGGGAAACTGACCATCTGCTCTTGATTTACGACCTCTCTGTTAGCAGATAGAAAATGAAAGAGAGAGAGAGAGAGAGAGAGAGAGAGAGAGAGAGAGAGAGAAAGTGAGAGAGAGGGAGAGAGAGAGAGAGAGAAAAAGATAAAGAGCCGCAGAGGATGGGAGAATGGGAATGAGGTAGATCATTTGCATGGAAACTATGTCTTATGTGTCCAGTGCGGCGTGCATAATGTTCTTCTCGAGAATTTCTGTGTGTTGTTCTATGAAAAGGATTCTGACATTTTTTTTTTAATTTCCAATTATTCATTTCCATAGCTACTAAAATATTGTTCACTTTCAAATGTCCTGAAATTTCAGTTTTTTGAGAAATCGCTAAATTTTGAAAGCATTTTATTTTTGACGTTTTCAGAGACGGTACCGATCCTCTCTCCAAAATTCTAAGCACCACAAACTACAGTATTCCGGACGGAAAGATATTGCATTTTGACGTTTTTAGTGGAAAATAGCCAACTTTGAGCCCCTGAAAAAACAATTCGAGAATTTTTCAATTTGTCTGAAAATATCAGACTAGACTAAGCAAGAATAAAAGTGCATTTTTGTAGTTGACAACTTTTTTGTACAAATCCAACCAAGCAAGATAAGCGGTTTTGAAGTCAAATTCAGCATTTTTCCAGTGGAAAAACAATTATTGAACTATAAAATGCTTCAAAATGGTTCAGTTGACTCATAAATACAAAATTCAGACTTTTCAAGTCTTGCGCTTTAAAATGAGCTCGAACACGACTCAAATCCGTTAATTTTGATTTTCTGCCAAAAACACGCGACGCACGACCGCGACGCGTCTGAAACTTCAACATTCAACGAATCTAGTCGTGCTTAGGCTCATTTTAAAGCTTTAAACGTGTTGATTTCGATTTTTTGATCAAAAATCAAGTTGATCTCAGTTTTTGAGCTTCGATCAAGTATTCCAAATTTTTCCGAAATTTTTAACACTTAAACTTCGACCTTAATTATCTCAGTTCCTTTGGAAGATATGAAAAATTTCTAAAATGATAAAATGTTGGTGATGTTATAACAAATAGTTTATTAGTTGACACATTTTTGATATCTCTTATAGGAACCGGGACAATTTATGTACTAAAAGCATATGCTTTTTCTACAAAATCAAAACTTGTATTTCAAATTTCAATGTTTCAATTCTGGCTCTCTTTTGTCATGCCACCCGTCGTGTAGGTGTGTCAACTCTGATTTTCATAGTAAAATGAATAATAAATCTGCTCTTTCTTTCTTCTGAAACATGATGAAAACGGGCGGTCCACTGAATTCAATAGATTCAATATTCCACGAGGGATTGAATTTTTGGCACAGTGCCAAAAATGTGTTTGTAGTTTGAATCCAAATGTTTCATACCAAATTCCAGAGTTCGCAAAAAAACCTTGCATCTGGTGTCCAGATGGGTAAAGAAAGCATGATTTTTTGAAGGTTTGCAAGAATTTCAAAAGTTTAAAATATAACTCTTTGAAAATAAAAATGAGCAATGTATTCAATTCTACAGACGATGAGGAACGCATAATTGAGTTATGCAAAATTTTCCGGGAGGGGACCCAGAAATTGAGAATAAGAGAATGAGAGCATGAATATTTTATTCGGAGGGGAGGATTCGGAATTCTGAAGTGCAAGTGGATTCTGAAGACGTTCTATATAAGTATACATTCAGAAATATTGATTAGGAGAAATGGTAGATCACAATAAAAATCGAAAGGTAGATCAAGAAAAATTATTTCTAGTCCCAGAAAAAGGTAGATCAATAATATAGAGTTGTTAGTTTCGATCTCAATTATCGTGGTTCCTGTAAAAGATATCAAAAAATGATTGACTGATGAAATGTGTGAAATTTTATTCTACATGTTTTATTAGTTTACAACTTTTTGATATCTTTTAAACAACAGTGAAAATTAGCATCAACAAGTGTTAGGGAAAAATATACAGATATCGGAAAAAAAGAAAACAAATAATGGGAAGGTTTTCATGGCCTTATATCCTTGATTTGAATTTTGTTTAGAAAAATATGGGAATGCAGTAGAGCGCGTTTTCAGGCTTGACAAAAAAAAATCGGGGAAATTGAAAATTCGGGATTTTACAGGATTTGAAATTATTGATTTGGGGAAATGACTTAAATATTTTAAGTACATGATAAAGTCAACAAATTGTAGGAATATACAGAAAAAGAAAAACTGACATTGAAAGTTTTTCTAGGGGTTCGAAATACTCTAGTAAAATGCTTTCCTTAAACTTTCACTTTGAGCTCAATCATCTCGGTTTCTTCAAGAATTATCAAATAGTTGTCAACTGATAAAATGTTCATCATAGTATCAGCTATATTTTATCAATTGACAACTTTTTGATATCTACTATAGCAGCCGAGATATTCGTCATTAAAGTTTGCGCTATAGCTCGAAGTTGCCAAGGAGCCACAAAACGCGCGTGTTTCAAGTTTTAAAGGCGCATATTTCAAAATTCAAATGTGATATCAAAAATTTGTCAATTGATAAAATGTCCATGATAATATGACAAACATTTTATCAGTTGACAAATTTTTGATATCTCTTTTAGGAACCGAGATAAATGAGCTCAAAATAGGGCATCGTTCTATCGAAGCGGTATTTCTATAGAAAGTGTTTTTAGTGCTGAAAAACGCGGGAGATTTGATAACCAAAGAGGTATTTTCAGAAATTTCCAGAATGTTCCATTGTTTCAGCTGCTGCATGTAGAGCCGAGCTTGTGGGAAAGACCTCGTTTCGAACCCATATTGGAATTCCAAATCGATTACGGATATCATCGATCTTGTCCAAATCGGCTATAGTTTGATCCCGAAGAAGTTCATAATTCACCATTTCGCCACGCGCGTTTTTTTCCTGGACCAGCAGTTTTAGGTATTGCCTGGAAAAATAATTTGGAGCATTTTGAACCGTGGGACCTTAAAGCCGCGGTCGACGCCTTGCTTAAAACAGAAAAAAAAAATTGACGATAGGACAACCGCGCCCCACTTTACAAATATCAGGCAACGCTACAACTTAGATAACACACTTCTGCATCTTACTGTAGTTGTGCTTGACCGTGTAGCCAGTAAGAAAAAAACAACTCACAACAAGTTATGAAACACCTGCGTAACAGTAAAGAATAATTTTGGGCCTTCTGGCTCTGAGCATTTTAGCTTTGTAGCTTCCTCGTGTTTCCTACAGTAGATGTTCCAGGCTTCTTGAGATGTCTGAAACTTTAAAAATTGTATTGTTGGTCTAAAATGACTGTTTTGACACAAAGGAAGTTTATATACCCAGTACCGGTCAATCAGATATACAAACACATATTTTTTAGTTGATTTAAGGTCATTTTGACCAATTTCAAAAGTCTGGAGTTCGGCTGCCAAGTTTCGGAAAATTTTGAAAAATTCGGAGAGTGTAAAACAGACATAAATTGAGAACTTTGCATTCACAGAATTTTTTGAAAGGTTCTAGATTTTCAGCTATTTCCCGATTTCTGAAATACACCCCTTTTTGGCTAACTGAAAAACTTAGAAATTTTATATTGATTTTGTGAATATAAAGTTTTCAATCTAGGTCTGTTTTACACCTCTTCCAACTGATCCGACACTTGACAGCTGAGCTCCAGACTTCTGAAAATTACTAAAATCAAAGGAAAACAGTTTTTTTGTATTTTGCTGAGCAACCTCAAAAATGAAGGTATTAATTGAGAATTTTGGAACCCCCCCCCCCCCCCCGAAATTTTATAAAATCTAGCTAGTCCCCTTTTCCTTACCTTACACTCGACAGGTTTATCAAAACATAACGCAGCTAACAAGAATTGTGTACGTTGGTGAGCACTGGCCCATGGTTGTCCTGGAATTTTTGTTCAAAAAATCTCAAAAATGTTTTTTCTTACTTTGATACATTTCCTTCATGGACTCTCTCCAAAAATATCTAGAACAACAGATATCTCCATCAATAAGTCTATCGATCGTACCCCGATCGATCATTTTCTCAGCATGACGGGCTCTTTGCCATTGGCTTAATTGGTTAATTAGACAATTAATTAAAAACTTCACTTACAACGAGTACCATTCAAATAGTGTCAAAAGTGCTTTGATTTCTTTTGCTGACGATTCCCGGCTTTTTTTCAAACTTTCAATGATAGACAAAGCGATAAGGAAGACAATGTCGGATCTCTGGAAATAGAAAATTTTGAATGTACTTCGTCATCTCGGTTTCTTCAAAATATAGAAAAAAGTGGTCAACTGATGAAATATTTGTCATGATATTTATCATCAAGATTTTTGTAGTTAAAGGTGGGGGACAAGAGATTTTTCGTAGTTTTTTTGTAGCTAGAGTATGCATTATACCGTCACGGTGTACAACGCTTAACGCCACTCTGCGTACAGCTGTCGTCCTCGCCTTTATGTATGCAATCGGGCGTGCGCTTTCTCTTAGCCCCCGTGGCTCAGCCGATAGCGGCGCCGCACCCTCAATCATCGCCCTCACAAGTTCAATCCTCGAGGGGCATCTTTGAACGGAATTTCGAGAATATCATTTTTTTCATGTCCCCCCACCTTTAACAAATTTTTAATATCTCTCATAGGAACCGAGATAATTAAAGTCAAAGTGCAAGTAGAATCATGAAGTACGAAAAGTTTGGAATACTTGTATGAAGATGAAAAATTGAGCATAAATTGGTTTTTTCGTCAAAAATTTGAATTTAGCAAATTATGAGCGTCAAAAAAAGCCTAAACACGACTAGATCAGATGAATTTTGAAATTTCGGGCGCGTCGCGGTCGTGCGTCGCGTTTTTAGGCCGAACATCAAAGATAACGGATTCAAGTCATGTTTGAACTCATATCCAAGCGCAAGATTTAAAAAATCCGAATAGTGTATTTATGATTTCGATTGGACCATGTTGAAACGTTCCGTGGTTCAAAATATGTTTGCCTGAAATTTTTGAAATTTTCATAAAACGTTTCGAAATGATCCGATCAACTTATAAACATATTATTCGGGCTTTCCAAGTCACCCGGATCCAGGTCACCCGGTCAAGGTCACCCGGATCCAGGTCACCCGGTCAAGGTCACCCGGATCCAGGTCACCCGGATCCAGGTCACCGGATCCAGGTCACGCGGATCCAGATCAACCGGATGCAGGTCACCATCCCAAAGTCACGACGATCGATCCCACGGTGTCCTTGTCTCCCAGGATCCAGAACGCGAGAACTGAGTCTCCCTTATCTATGTCTCCCGGTCTATGTTCCCCCCGATCAAGGTCACGCAGTCTAGGCCACTCCGATCCAGGTCATTTTTATCCAGATCACCCATTCCATGCCACCCATATCCATGCCACCCGGATCCAGGTCACCCGGTCAAGGTCATCAGGATCCAGGTCAGCCGGTCAAGTTCACCCGGATCCAGGTCAGGGTCACCCGGATCCAGGTCAGGGTCACCCGGATCCAGGACCAAGGACCCAGGATCCCCGGGTCACCTTCTCTGGAGCCCAGAGAAGGTGAGAACTGATTCTTCCTTTCATTTCACTCTACCTTTATATTACTTTCCCAGAGGTCAATGGTTTCTAAACCAATTCACGTAGTCGTTTTTTTTCTAAAATTTTAAATTTTTTCGCAGCATTTTTTTGCCCCGGGGTTTCTTTTTTAATTTTTTTTTTACATCACGTTTAAATATACTTGAATTTTTACTTTTTAAATCTGTGAAACTCGTTAAAAAGATCGTTCCTTTGAACCTAGTTATCTCGTTTCCTGTTTGAGATATTTAAAGGGGCGTCCGCTAATTCCAAAAATTTTGAGATTTTTCTATCAATCGATCCAGAATTTTAGGTCGGGAGGAAACTCTCTTGAAGGATAGTCCGAAAATGCAGATTAGGGAGCTCGACAAGAGGCAGAATCCTTGAGGGTGCACGCAAAGAAATGAATAAAAACGTGAGTTATTCTCCCTATTATTCTCCCTAATCTGCACCCTCTACGTTGACTTTTTTTGACCTGTTTTTGACATATAAGAAGGAGCGATTTTCAAAATTTTCAATTTTCATCCCAAATCACTTCGATTTCCAAAATTTCTGGGAATTTGGAAATTTTACGTGATTCACAGAAATTGAACGTTGCAATTTCTGGGATTTTTCACAGAACTCGAACGGTTCGAGTTCTGGGATTTTGGAAATTCACGTGATTTTACTGAAACTTCACAGAAATTTTGGAAATCGAAGTGATTTGGGATGAAAATTGAAAATTTTGAAAATCGCTCCTTCTTATATATCTTAAGAACGAGTGATTTTCTGACTATCCTCCAAGAGAGTTTTCTTCCCGACCCGAAATTCTGGATCGATTGATTGCTTTTAAAGTTTCTGATTATCTTTTACAGGAACCGAGATATATTTGACCAAATTTGCGAAATTATGATTGTCATTTGTTGTCGGTTTACGCCCATCTGGGCTTTCGTGTTTTTTTCAGCCATCTGTTTGCCACGCCTCCGAAATGTTATCCTTAAAACCTTACCACTGGCACAAACGTAAAGGAAGCGTCTGCAGAAATAAGGTATTGAGGAGGTCCCAACATGAGCTCATTTCTTTCTGGACCTCGGTGTCCTGCTACTTGACCATTAGTTAGAATCGGCTCATAAACAGGTATGGGTAGTGTCGGATTCCTCAACGCGAATTCTGGTGGTCTCTCAAATGATTCTCGCATTCTTCTTAACGTTTCGTCGTTGTCTGGACAGTCATTAGCAATTGCAGCCATCAATTCAAGAGAGTGGGATGTGCCAGCTTGATTTGTTCGCTGATCATGTACAGCAGTGGCTTGTTCCATAGATCCTCCTAAGAGGTTCAGAATGTATACCGGAAGTGTGATCTCTGGGTTTCTTGGAGGTACTATCTCAATCTCCCCCTCCTCCCTCTCCTCCTCCTCATCGCTGTCCCAATCTGGCTCGTACTCCGACTCGTAATCATCCACCTGGTTGGGGTCTCTATTCTCGTCATTATCATTTTCATATGGGTCCACAATATCCGGCAATCCTTGGGGTGAATCGTGAATATCCTCTTCAACCTCGGCCTCACTGTCAGCCATTGCTTCTTCATCTGACTCCTCATCCTCCGAAGCATCTTGACCCATTCTAATTATACCCAATTTCAAAAATTGGGTAGTTACAAACTGTCCGACTCGAGCCTCAATCATCCTAGCTGCATGACTTGTATATTGCTGGCCGGTCCGATAGGCTTGGAATAGATAATTCAAGTCTCGTACAGATAATCCACTTTGTGCAAGTTGTTCTTCTAGGGGGGATGATGGGAAATCGTTTGCGATGTTGATGTATTGGGATTGCTCATTTTTCAGAAGGTTTTCAATTGAGAATGGCAGAGTTGGAGTGCTGAAATAGAAAAAAACAATTCTATAATTTTTTGCGAGCTCGTAAGAGCCGTTTTCTCTAGAACTTTTTCAACTTGCCAATTTATTTCCGTTCCTGTCAAAGATATCAAAAAATTATCAACTGGCAAAATATTGATGATATTCTGATAAACATTTTATCAGTTGATCACTTTTTGATATTTTTCACAGGAAGTGAGATATATAGATTGAAATTTGACGGTTCTGTGGACATTCTTTTATTTCTTTACGGTACCACACTTTACAGTACTTTCTTTACAGTACCACAGAATTTTAAACTACAGTACTGTGCTTGAAAAATATAGCTCACCTTATTTGAACATTTCCTATTTGAACACTTGTGGAAGGATCCCTGTTTGAGCCGTCATTAGCTTGATCGGTGTCATCCGGCTCCATTTTACCCAAAAAATACAAAGCTGAAAAATTTTGTATCTTTAAGCTCCTTGAGCACATTGACCTCAATTATTTCGGTCCCCATAAGAGATATCAAAAAATTGCCAACTAACAAAAATTGTGCCATGGAATCTCCAACATTTTATCACTTGACAATTTTTTGAAATCTCTTACAGGAACTGAGATAAATGAGCTCAAAGGGCAAGTATATGGTTAAGCAAGTATAAGTCGTAAAGTGCAAAGATAAAAACACGAATAGATTTGTTGAATTTGTAAAATTCTGAAGCGTCGCGGTTGTGCGTCGCGTGCTTAGGCTGAAAACCTAAAAACTGAAACTGAAACATGAACGGATTTGATTTGTGTTTGGGGGCCTAAATAGTGTGTTCACAAATCGATTGGACAATTTTGAAGTATTTTATGGTCCGAATTTTTTTTCCTGAAATTTTTGAACATTCTCAACCCAATTTTAGTAGTGTTTCAGCTCGTTTTGAAGCTTATGACAAGAAGAAAGTTTTTGAAGTTTTGGAAGAATTTTAACAAAAAAAAAGTTGGTGAAATTTCATTTTGTGTTTCGCTGATTCCCGCAAGCCTATTATTCTTGAAAGAGGTTTTGCGGATTTTCAGAAAATTTCGAAGATCAAAGCTCAAGGAACAAATTTGAGCCATGATTCATTCCTCACTATCTTTCCAAGAAAACATATGTTTGAAGAATATAGGAGAAAATCAGATGACGTCAAATATCACTCATCGTTCTATACCACATTTTATGAGACCCGTGATTGGGGCAGATGGGAAGCAGGCAAGCGTTAAACTGCGAACTAAATCTTATAACCTGCACGTTGTCTGGGCAACCGGATGGAAATGATGGGCGATACCACCAACCTTATCAAGACGTGTGGCACCGCCCATCACACATGGGTAGATGACCGGAAACTTTAATGCACTTTTTTGGGAAAATGAAAAGTGCAGGAATTAATAGTGCCTGAAGTCAGAAGCGTATTTTTTTTAAATGCCAACACCCCTGGGGGTATCTTCCACATTGTCCTAGCTTAACTTCAGGTGCGCTCAAAATCAACAAAGCATAGACTTGCTAGGGATTACCGTAGTCGGTGGAAAATAGTCAACTTTGGAGTCCTAATAAAATGTTCCAGAGTTTTTCGATTTGTATGAAAATTTCAGAGTGTACTTAACAAAAATAGAGCTTCAATTTTGTAATTGACAACTTTTCTGTAAAAATTCATTCTAATGAGATATGCCGTTTTTAACAGAAAAGTGCCAAAAATGCCCAAATCAGTTCGAAACTACTTATTTCAATTTCTTGGATTTTTACGATAAAATTGTCAATTACAAAAATTAAGCTCTAATTTCTTGTTTAATACAATCTGAAGATTTCTGGCAAATCAAAAATTCCGAATTAGTTTTTGAAGACTCCAGAATTGACTATTTACCCACCGAAAAAAGCGAAAATATGAGATATTTTTGTTCGGGGTACTGTAGCTGACAATTGGAAAATTCGCAGTAAAATCAATCGATTCCTGATAATTCAAACTCAAATATTGGAAATTAGTTACAGTTGCCTTGTTGCGTTCATTTTTTATATCCAAATTTTTCTCTTTTTTTTTCAAAATTTCCGATTTTTAAATTAAAAACAATTGGTAGGTTTTGTAACAACGGCGAATCTCCCACGTCTGGTACAATAATTTTTTTTGGCTACAAAAAAAATCGCGGAAATAACTGAGGATTACGGTAGTATTACGATAGCGCGGTAGGGTTACGATAGTACGGTAGGGGTACAGTAGTCGCCTTACGTTAGGATTACGGCAGTACTTAACTTTCTATTTTTGATAAGCAGTCACTGATTGACACTTCTTCAGAAATGTCAAGAAGGAAAGAGAAGAGAAGAGAGAGAGAGAGAGAGAGAGAGAGAGAGAGAGAGAGAAAGAGATGAAGTTCCCTAAAGAACGTTCAAGGCGCTCAAGGTGGGCTGAGCCTCCTGAGTACTAGGACTGGACTCACCCCAGCGGGTTTCTCAACCCAAGCCCAGCTACACTATTAAAAAAACCAAAAACAGCGAGAAACCCCAAAAATCGAAAATTTGCGAATCTCGTTTCCTGAAGACAGCTTCTCCACGTTTTTCTTCTCCCCTGAATGAACCTCCCTTCTCCTTTTTCTTCATTTCCTCCTCCCTGTGTTGTCTCTAACCACTCTCTCACTTTATCCACACTATTTCACCCCGCTCTTTTTTTGCCCTATGTGCAATTTTTCCTCCTGCGTTTCCTTATGTGGGTATATGAAAGATGCATGTGGTAGGGTGGAGTGAAGAGTGGCGTCTTTTTTGATAGATTATGCTTTTTTGTCTCGAGTAGTTGAGGTTGGATGAAGATGGAAATTGGAAACGAATTTTTTGAGAAAATTAGTATAGTTGGAGAGGTTGAGATTTGAAGTTGGGCTTTGAGAACTAGGAAGGAATAATTGAAAATTGGAAATCGGAATTCAGAAATTGAGAATTCGGAAGTAGAAGTCGGAATTCGGAATATGGAAGATCAAAATTTTGAAATTCGGAATTTGGAGTTCGGAAATCAGGATTCGGATGCCGAGACTAGAATTTTGAAATTCGGAAATCAGAATTCGGGAGTCAAAAGAAACTTGATTGTTGGAATTTGGAAATTAGAAAATTAGAATTTCAGATTCCCTGCAACTCTTCAATTCTTAAATTCAAATAATCCGAACTTCAATGGAACACCAGAAATGTAAAAATAAGGGAATCAGAACTCCAACGTCGGAACTTGAAATTCGGACTCCGGAATTTTGAATCCGAAAAATGAAACCTCGGAACTTGGAAATATAAAATTTTGGAATTCGGAAATGGAAATACGGACGTCGGAAATCTAGAGTTAGAGACCGGAGTTTGGAAATCGGACTATGCAATTAAAAATTCGAAAATTCGGAAATCAGAAGTCCGATATTTGAAATGCCAACGTTGTTAGCCAGGCTCTTCTGTCCCATCGGTATCGATTCATTTTTCCTCTTTGCTCTCCTCATTTGTTTTTATTGATGCACAATATGGAAAACGATAATAAAAAGGAAAGAATCGTCCTGAATTCCCATATCGTCGTCGGGTCGATCTGTATTTGTTTTCTCTTTCTATTATCCGTTTCTGTTTCTTTGGTATGGTCCACATAGCAAAAAAGTACTGTAAGCGCTTTTATAGAAGGCCATCCTATTCTTGAACTTCGAGCTCAATCATCTCAATTTCTATAAGAGATAACAGCAAGTATAAGATGTTTATCATAATATCCGCAGCATTTCGTCAATTGTTCAAATTTTAATATCTCTCATAGAAATTCAGATAATTTTGCTCAAAGCGCAAGTATAGGGTGGTCTTCTATTGGAATGTTTACGGCGAATTAAAAAAAATCTGGGACCTGGAAAATTTAGCGGGCGGCTTTCGTGTCAATTTACGGGGCCTCGCCCAAAAATCACTACAGTCATACATGTAATCCGGGCCTTTGCCGGGCCTTCGCGGGCCTTGTCATTGTTTCTTTCAGAATCATTATTTTCAGACCAACTAAATCAAATATAATAGAGTTCGGCGAGTACTACAAAATGATAACATTTGAAAAACTGGTATCTTGTTTGCGAACAAAGTAACAGGCGAAAAAGAGCGAAAAAAGCAGGCCCGGCTCGGCACGTCCGGAAAAAGACACTTTATGGCCTGTAATTTTGTTCGCAGACAAGATACAGTATTCCGCATAATATCATTTTGTAGCACTCGTCGAGCTCTATCATATCCAATTTAGTTGGTCCAAAAGTTTCGATTCTGAAAGGAACTATGGCAGGGCCCGCGAAGGCCCGGCAAAGGCACGGATTACAAGTATGACTACAGTATTAAACGAATTCAATTTTCGTGAATTTAGTGGGATTTTCTGAACAATAGTTAGATTCTTGGTATGGAAATGATCGCTAGCATCTCTAGAATCCGTTTTTCATTGAAAACCCGAATTTAATTGCGAAAGTAGCTCGAACGAGGCAAAAGTCTGAAATATTACGATATTGCCGCGCTTCTTCGTAGATCAAAAAATGCGACTGATTTCAAATTCTCAGGTCCCAGTTGTTTTTAATTCGACAATAGTTGAAATTTTTCACCTGAAAAAATTATCTAGTTTGTTTTTTCTCTCTATCGGAATCTATTATACTCATTTTGGAATCCATTATACTCTTCTTTTTAAAATATATCTGAATACAGGAAATGTGACATTTACTTTCAATATATATTTTTAATTTCAATTTGTCAAACAGATAAATAAAAAGGAGAAATTAATATTCATTTCGTATCCAAGACTTGATTTATGTCAGAAATCCATAGCAACAGACTCCAAAATGTGAACCTAAAAATGTGTTTCTGATTATCAGAATTGTATAATTTTAATCTTCTGAATATACCTTTTGGATTTCAAATTATTCAAGATTTCTGAATCTTCAGACTTACCTTAAAAAATTCGAAGAAAGTCAATAAAGTTTGAGGTAGATCAAATTTGTATGCTGTTTTTGTTGTCTCTTTTTCCCTCACTTTTATAAATTTTTTTTTGGTTTTTTGTGTTTCTGCCGCTATCGTTTTCTAGATGTTTTCAAGAACCTTAAAAATATTTTCAGAACCACCAATTTTATAAAATGGCCGAAAATAGCAGCAGCAGCGCCGATTCCTACAGTTTCGTCGAAATTCCAGAACTTCCGGTACTTTTTCCGAAGTTTTAATATTCTAATTTTATTTTTCAGAACTCCCAGGCCTACGTCAAAGAAATCAATAAAATCTTTGCGGATTTGAGAGCAAGAGAGCCGGAAGCTGAGGAGCTCACCCAGAATATTTTTATGCTCATCGGAATGGCCAAGTGAGTTTTTTCAAGATTATTTCGATATTTCGATATTCCGAAAATCCGAAAGTCCAATATTTCAAATTTCCCATATTCTCGAGTCCAAAAATTAAAAAAAAATACTTCGGAGTGTTTGGATTCCTAGATTCCTGGATTCCTAAATTTCTGGATTCCTGAATTCCTGGATTCCTGGATTCACAGATTCCTGTATTCCGAGATTTCTGTATTTTTGAATTTATGGACTTTTGGATTCCTGGATCCCTGGGTTCCTGACTTCCTAGATTCCTAGATTCCTAGATTTCTAGATTCCTAGATTCCTATATTCCTAGACATCCAGATTTTCAAAATTCGATTTATCTCAGAGCCGCCAAGAAGAAGATGGAGCTGGAGAATAAGAACAAGGTTGACATCGACGTCGTCATGGACGCCATCGGATCGCTTCAGATCAAAGCTTTCGGTGAAAAATAATCTTGTAATTTTTATATGCTTTTTCCTGTCTCATAATGCAATATCATTCATTCATTTCTCTCTTGTAAAATGTGATAACTTTTGAACTTTGAACTATAGTTTTGAAGAAATACCTCAAAGCAAGGCTTTCGAATTTGGGCCGAGGCATTTTTAGTTCAGGTACTTCTGAAATAGGTAGGATTCGGCGGCCTAGCGGCCCTGATAGTTTTTGGCTGGCTGAGCGTATTTCGAAAGAACGGACTGATTGATCCATGGTAACACACCGACGGCCTCAATCACGGCCGGCCGCGGCCCTGTTTTTGACAGCCTTGCCTCAAAGGAAGGCCTTATCAACTTTGACAAAATGTATCTCGATTACTGTAAGATATATCAAAAAATGGTCAACTGACAAAATGCTGCTGCCATTATGATGAATATTTTATCAGTCTACCCTTTTTTGATATCTCATATAGAAATGGAGATAATTTAGTTCAAAAGGTCAATTGCGTCACAAGACTGGGTACCATTATTGCGCACCAGGCTCGCCTCTCCTCTGCCAGCCTGACCAACCTCAGCCTGATTTGCGTTATAAGAATCTCTCCAGGGTCATAATTAGCCTGATTTCTTTACTTTCCCGACTATACGAAAAACAGAAGTGAGTCAAACTACGTTTAGAAGCTCACGAGGATTTATGACGCTAATGAGTGTGTGTCAGGAGGTTGGCATGGAGAATACATTTCCCTCCCGCCGCTTTCTCTCCCACTTTCACTTTTAGTTTCAACTCGTCGCGATGGGCTCCGTCCTTAACAAGGCCTATCGGAAAAGAATTCAAAAGGATGACGATTTGATTTGGATGTAAGTTATCAAGTTCCTTTCTCAGCTACTCGCTACAGCTAGTTGAATCTTGTAGCGTTATAATAAGAGGTGCCGAGTTAGGTCACCGGGGAACATCAGCTCACGATAGCTTGGTAGACTTAGGCTTTATACATCATTACATCATCACCAGGGTGTTATGGTCTGAACTATCAGCCGTGTTTATACCAGCTGAGCAATCTGGATCCTAGGCAATCTAAAGCGGTCCATAGAGAGTCAACAGAACCTAGAGACCAGCTCCCCATCTGGTTCCTAGGCAGGTGTATCCTACCAACTTACCATAAACCAGCTATACCGACCTTTATCATTAAGCTCTCTGGCTTCGTTTGATTGTTTTCCGCAATTCATGAAACACGAATAATTCTTAAATTCCAGCTGCCAATGCGCAGAAACGTCGAGCGAAGCGGAGATCGAAGTGAGCAAAAGCCAACTGAGGGCTACGTCTTTGGAAGTCGACTTCAATGAAAACGGAGAGACATTGGTGGTGGTGACCTTCAGAGCTAAACGATTCACGTTCAAGCTGGTGCCTGGGAAGGAGGTCCCGTTGGAGAATTCTTGGAAAAAGATCTTGTGAGTTTGGAGGGTGTTGGTACTCGGGTACTCTGTGGGGGTTCAAAATTTTGCGGATTTTCTAAACTTCCGAACTCCGGCTCTTTAAACTGCTGCGTACGGAAATAGTCTCTGGCATGTGGACGCGCACAAATTCGGTCGATTGGGGCTGCGGTCAGGCAGCGGTCGTCGATTTTCGAGAGATCAAAAACCATGGTTGATCAGGGAAAGAATACACGGTTCCTATCACCATATTTTCTTTTCAGTCGTAACCTCAAGAACCGCTACTATTGCACCTACGTTGTTGGCTCCCCTCATCCCGATGCCATCATCTCCATTGTCACAAACCATCTCCGATTCCTTTTCAACATTTCCCACATCACCGCGGTTCGCTTCCAAGATCCCTCGCGTGATATCCGGGAGCTATGCACCCCACTCACTAGCTGCCTCTTCTATGTCCCCAAACTTTTCATCAATAAGCCAAAAGTAACCGCCGATGAAATGAACTTTGTTCGAGACAACTTCGAAAACCTCCAGGAGATTCTGATCGATACTGATGTTCCTGAAGGATTTGAGTCGTGGATTCTGGACCATCGGAAGGTGACAATCTTCAGTAAGATGAAGTTGGAATGCATGGATTTGTCATGGTCCAGATGTATTCAGTTGGAGATTTGGAGTAAGAGTATTACGGCTAAGGATATAAACAGATTCATTAGCATTTGGATGGATCAGGGGGTAAGTTATTTTCCATGAACTACAGTAGCCAAGTCATATTTTCCAGTATCCACGTCAACTGCAATCGGTGGTCTTCAATGACTTCGCTGGAGACAAGAACGACATCATTGATGGAATCGATCGTCGTTGTTGGGATCCTAGAACTCGACCTCGTTATTTCCCATTGCAGTCATCCATCGGACTCATCAAATTTGATTGTAAGGATGGTCTAGACGTCATTTATCCACGAGGGGAGCTATACCGGGAAATCGGAACCATCTGGTTTGGAGCGGAGAGGAACTCTTGCGTTTTCATGGTCCATCCAAAGGATCCGGTGAAGAGTTATCAGTGGTATTGGGATCTTCCACATAACTTCTTTGGACGGAAAATCAATAACAATCAGGATCGGAACAAAAACCTGAAGCCCTCAATTGTGGATTCAACTGTAGCGTTGAACAAATAACATCAGGAATTTTCTGAAAATCTGAACGTTCAGCCCAAAACTCGATTTTTCCACTATCTTCATTTTTCTCCTCGGTTTTTTGAAAAATATCTCCCTATCTCTCCATAAATCAGGAAATTCCGAATGTTCCAAAGTATCTTGAACTCAAAAACTCGGTTTTTTTCCACTGTGTGAACTTTTTTCCCTCCTCGGTTTTTTTTTGGAAATCTTCTAACCTACTTCTCCCCTCGGCTATTTTCTCTCCTTATCTGTGTCATACTTATTTTCGTCTACTTTTTTCTGAATTAATGGTTTTGAAATCTACAGTTAGAATATCAAAAAACACACATCTTTGGGAATTTTCCTGATACCGCTTAACGTGAAATACTGCCAAAAGAAAGTAGAAGCGAGATCGAGATCCACTGGGGAGTGATTTCTAACAAGGTGGTTTTCAAACAGAATTTATTTACAGTAAACTGGAGGATTGAGAACATTTACAGGAAATTTCGAGGTTGCTAATTTTTCTAATAGAAAAAATTACAAGCCAAAAAACATATGTACACGCAGGGCTGGGCGAGCAATCGGCTTTCGTCGGAAACGAATTGCAAACCACGCGCAATACGAGATTAAATGCGCACGCAATTTTGCCGATGTGTCTGGACACGTAAAAAACGGCGTGGAAAATAAATTTGGAATTTTGAACAATTTTATTAAAAATCGCTTTAAAAATTCAAAATTTATTTTTTTTACGTGTCGAGACCCGTCGGCGAAATTGCGTGCGCCTTTAATTTCGTATTGCGCAACAAGAGCGGAAAATTTGCAAAACGTGAAAGTTTTTCTCCCGTCCTCGCCCACCCCTGTGTACTCAGCAAATTTTTGGCACATGTGCCGCTAATTGGGGCACCGGTGCCGCTGCAACGCGGTAATCGTGCCCGGGGGGCACGCATGCATTTTGCGTGCCGCTGCCGTGCCGTTGCCGTGCTCATGTGTGTCTCGTTTTTTTTTAATTCTTTCTTCAAAATCAGATCAATTAATCACGAGATTTTCCTTAAATTGGACAGTTTATTCAAATACAAATACTAAAAAAAGAGTAATAAAAAAAGAAAGAAAAACGATCATTTAAATTTGTAGAAAAGATTGTGTCGAAGATGTCGAATTTCGATGAAAGTAACTTTCCTACTCCTCTTCTCCAGCTTTATTGGCGTTGGGCTTGGCAGGGTGTTTCTGAAAGAACTTTAAAGATTATTTACATAACTAATTGTATGAAAACTCACATTTCTTTGGACGTCTTCCCGGAGATCCATCAGAAGTTGTCTGGCACGTTTTCACTGAAGATCAGCGGAACTGTAAAACATAGGGATTAACATTAACCTTTCGAACATTTTTTTTGAACACTGTCATTTCAAAATAGTTCAGTTTTTCACATCTCGCCCACTTACATATTTAATTTGGAATATTCATCGTTGCTGGTCGTAAAATATCTTCTTCTTCTTCAGTATCCCCCACGGTTTGACGACTTCCCTTCTCGTCTTTATAACTGAAAAGATTTCCGACATCATTATTACTTGAACATCTCTCAACTCACCTATTTTCCTTCGGTGTCTCTTCCAACGGGACATCTGGTACAGCCAATGTCTGAAAACTAAACAGAAATATATTTCATGATTTTCCACCTGAAAGCCTAGAAAAACAAAACCAAATGCCATAAAACGGTGAAAAGTACAAAAATTTATGAAAATGAATGACAAGCTATTTTCGCAACATTTTCGAAACTATGGATAGAGACGATATGCGCCGGTGGTTCAAGAAAGGGCACGGCAGCGGCACGGTAGCGGCACGCCACATGCTTGCTAGGGGCACGGGTGCGGTGTTCCAAGGGCACTTTCAACGCGGCACGGTGCCGTTTGGATGCGGATCCTGTGCCCCTCTGTGCCCTGGCGTGCCGAAAATTTGCTGAGTACACGACAATATGAATAAAGACGTTTTCAAACATCATAAGTAATGTTTGAGAAAAAGCCAATTTATCTCGATTTCTGTAAAAGATATCAAAAATAAATCAACTGATAAACTGTTAATCTTAATATGACAAACATTTTGTTAGTTGACCACATCACGCTCTCCCACAGAACAATTCCGAACTGCAAATAAATTTTTGATCTACAGAAAAAAAGTTTGGCGCGATTACAATTGCAAGTCTAAAACCATAATTTCAGAATTTTTTATCTGATTTTGTGGAGTTCCAAGATGATTCAAATAATTCTTTAAAAATTAATGAGTGGTTATAGATTCATGTATGGTCGTTTTCCGGAAGAAAAAATGTCAAAAATGATCATTTTTAAAAGTTTTTTACAGAAAAAATCTATCTCCTCTTTCAGTTTTTGACATTTCTAGGAGTTCTATAGCTCAAAGAAACCGCAATTATTTTCTCTATATTTTCTATAGACGAATTTTTAATTCGTCTCATAAAACTTTTTTTATAATCAAAAAACAACTCAAAAATGATATTTTGTGAAATTTCATGAGATTTTTGAATTATAAAAAAAGTTTTATCAGACAAATTAAAAATTCATCCATAGAAAATGTAAAGAAAAAACTTGTGGTTTTTTTTTTGAGCTATAGAACTCCTGGAAATGTCAAAAACTGAAAGAGGAGATAGATTTTTCTGTAAAAAACTTTTTAAAATGATCATTTTTGACATTTTTTCTTCCCGAAAGCGACCATACATGAATCTATAACCACTAATTAATTTTTTAAGAATCATTTGAATCATCTTGGAACTCCACAAAATCAGTTAAAAAATTCTGAAATTATGGTTTTAGACCTGCAATTGACTTTTTTACTGTAGATCAAAAATTAATTTGCAGTTCGGAAATGTTCTGTGGGAGAGCGTGCACATTTTGATATCTCTCACAAGAACCGAGATAAATTGGCTCAAAGATGATACCTGAGGGGGTACACTTTTGACGCTATGTACAGGAGGAACAAATGCGGTTTTTAACAACACGAGAAATAATTGAGACAGATAGAAAGCATTTGGGTTGAGTTCAGGCCTTCTAGGAAGTTAGAAAGAAGTTAAATTAAGGAATTCGATAAATCCGGAAGTTCGGAAATTTGGAAATTCAGAAATCACAGTATCTGGTATACCAGAAATCTAGCGACTGCTAGCAGCAGAATGGTTCATTAATCGTCTACTTACACTCGATTTATTTCAGTTCATGTAAATTATTTCTAAAAGTGGTCAACTGATAAAATGTTACTGATATTATGATAAACATTTTATCAGTTGACAACTATTTGATATCTCTTGAAGAAACCGAGATAAATTGGGTCAAATTTTATGCCCGGGTGCTCAAGGTTAAAGGGGGTAGGTTTTACGGTGATTACATAATGAAATAATAATGAAAATATGAAACAAGTTGGACGTTTAAGGGAAAGCGAGGAAGCTATAGGTTTCACAGTATGTACAGGAGGAACAAAGGAACGTTTTTGGGCTTTTTTGGGGCAAGAGCATGCATTCTTAGGCGACCATGTATGTACAGCGACCAGTGTAGCTGATAGTGAGACAAATTAAGCAAAATTGATATAAACCGTAAAAACTGCAAATAATGCATCCTTGCTTCGGTCCAACTTATCTCGGTTCCTGTGAGAGATATCAAAAAGTTATCACCTAATAAAATATTGCTGACATTATGATAAACATTTTATCAGTTGACACATTTTCGATATCTTTTACAGAAACCGAGATAAATTGGGTCAAGGATTTAGGGGGGATATAGGTTTTAGAGTATGGTTTTAGAGTATGTAGGAGGAATAAATGAATTTTCAAACAATACAAGAAATAGTTGCGACAGAAAAGTTTTAGGGGTTTTTTAGGGACAATAATGTGCATTTGTAGTGATAAATGAAGTTCAGACACATTTTTAAAAAGTAAGATACATCAATAATAAGGTCTTGGTGAAGAAGTCAGCAGATCCAAACCTCCCAGTTGCTCTTCCACCTCCACTAAATCATTAGATAACTCTTCTGGAAGATCCGGGAAAAACCGCTCTCTCCAAACCAAAAACCAACAACAACGAGAGTCTCTATCGAACAAAACCGTAGCCAATGTATCATCACTTCTTTTTATGTCCCATCCTGTCTTGCAGTCAAACCAGATGGAATGTGGGTAGTCCATTTTATAGTACCGGCTGTGTAGCGCATTGAACCGTGGTAATACGGTCAATCCATCGAACAAGTCTCCCAAGTCTTCAACCGAACCAAAACGGATGTACTCGAATTTCAACAATTGCTTTGATCCTAACCAAATCTTGAGGAATTCGTTGATGGAGGTGGTGGACCATTCACATTTGCGGAGATTCAGTTTTGTAGTATAACACTCGTCGTTTTTGTACAAATCGTCGATGGTGTACAAGTAGCCATTTAGAATTTCGACGTTTTTAAATTTAAGCGGCCAGAGATGATATTCGTCTGGAGGCATTGTGTTGAAGGCTAGGAAAAAAGTGCGAATGCTTTTGAGAAATTTCAACTCTTGAGAGGTCACGGTTGGCTTGGTGATCCGGAGATGAGCGGTTTTTGCGAGTTGGTGGATGTCGGCAATTTCGTGAATCAGGCGATCGGGATCCTTGAATTCCATAGTACGAATATTTTGAAGGTGGAAGATGTTCATCAAAATGGTGATTGTGGTTTGTATGACGTCTGGTGCTGACTTGATATTGAACTTGCAGAGCAGCGGGTTGACATTGTTGACTCTGAAACATAGAAGTTTTTGTATTTGGTATTTAGATGTTTTAGGCTTAGGGCTTTAGCAAAGGTCAGAAATAGGGCAGCGGCCCGGGCCTTGGAACGGTTGTCGTGGGTAGATTGCCGTAGAACAAGCTAACTGTTCTGTCGGAAATAATATCAGTCACTTTCAAATTTCAAGAGACGTTGGACCGGTGAATCCTACCTATCCCAAAAATTCCATAATCAAAAAGCCGGTGCACTTTTTTCGAAAGCACTGAAAATGCGCTCTACAGTGATCTCCAAAAAGTTACCCCTCATAGCACGCCATCCTTATACTTGCACTTTGAGCTCAATTATCTCGGTTCCTATAAGAGGTAGAGAAAAGTGGTCAACTCATGAAATGTTTTTCATAAAGTCTTCAAGATATTGTTAGTTGAAAAAATTTCAATATCTCTTATAAGAACCTAGATGATTGAGGTCATAGTGCAAGTATTGGGTTGCGTCCAATCATAGCATTTAAAGTATTTGAAAGTGAAGAATTTGTAAGGATGAGACGGTTCAAGGCTCACTAGGAACTTCTAGAAAGTTCTATTAGTTTCTGCTTTTTTAGTTACTGGTCTATAAAAATACATATCCTTACTCTTACAATTAGCACACATTGTTTCGAGAATTCGACCTTCTCAAATGACGCCTATAAAACTGAAATGTGCCTTGTTTACGGCAATAAGATAGGGGTTTCAAAAGGGTCAATAGACAGTGACCTGAAAAGTTAACCTAACAAGCCAAGGAGATGAAAAAAGCAATTCAAAATTAGTACAGACATGACTAGCGTTTTTGAAATAAGACTGTGGACAAAATAGACCAAAACTTCATTTATTTTGAAAATAGGCATTTGTTTTGAATCCAGCTAAACGAGAGCTTCGAAATGAGCTTTAACATGAGCTCAAACTATCACCAAGTTCAAAAACCTCTCAAAATGCTCATCACTCACTTAAGTTTCCCAACATCTTGCTCCTGTTCAGTCTGCTCTAAATGCATCTCGAATGTCTTATTCTCAGAGTTCAAAGTGATAAGAGTCCTTCCATTTTCACCAAAAATGATTCTCAAATCTGTAACGTCTCTAATCTCTAGATTCTTCACATATTCTTTTCCTTTTTTCGAACCAGCTGCAGCTGCGATTCTGCAAAATTGTTCTTAGCCCCATAATTATCCGCATAACTCAAAACTCACAATTTGAACAAATTATCATGTTCGGTAAGTTCTCCGGATTGAGGATCTCTACAGAGACTAGGAGACGATCCCATTTGTTTTTGAGGTCAAGAGGGTATACGAAAAGAAAAGTGGAAAAAAGAAAAGTTGTGAAAAATGAGTATATCGCGTTTATAATTATAGGGTATTGGTTGTCCATGGCAACACTGATGAAGTTGGTAGTACACTTTGGAGAGAGAGAGAGAGAGAGAGAGAGAAAATTTCGAAAAACAAAAAATGAGTAAGGCATCCCAAGTCGTGTAATTGAAGCCCGGATAGAATTCTAATTCCAAAAAGGTGGAATTCAAAAAAAGAAACTTTTTCTCACTAACAGAAGCAAATTTTTTGCCAAAAACCGTTAGGAACCTTCCAGACCGACTTGGTTAAACTTCAGGTCTGCTCAGTGATTACGGTAGAATCTACAGTACTAGACATTATTCATTTTTCAGTGGTACATAGTCATCTTTGGTGTCCTACAATAGCAGTTCAGAATTTTTCAATTTGTCTAAAAATTCCAGAATATATTGGCAACGTTTTTGTAATAATCCAACAAAGCGAGACATTTCTTTTCAGAGCTAATTTTTGTATTTTCAGCACATTTTCAGTTACAAACGGCATATCTCATCAGAATTTAATTTGGCAAAAAAGTTGTCAATTACAAAAATGAAGCTGTATTTTTGCTTACTAAAGTCAAAAATTTCCAGACTAAACAAATAATTCTGGACCACTTTCGTAGGCCTCCAAAGAATACTATTTTTCGCTGTAAAGTCGAAATAGGATATCTTCATCAGTAAGGTCCCAAAACGAAAACTACAGTACCCTTTAAAAATTATTTTCTAGAATGTATATTTTCAGTTTACTGTAGTTTCAGATTTCGGAGAGATATTGAACATTTCTGAAAAAAGTGCTCAGAAGAGTTGTTTCCTCTATATTAGAAAACTTGAAGACCAGATTATAACCCAATTTATTTCAGAATTTTTCCAAAAAAAAACAATTTTTCAAAACTGAAAAGCGAAAATCAGGAAATCGGGATTCAAATCATAGAGATGTACATATACAAAAAAATTGAATTAATATCACAGTAGAGCAAACAAAATATGCAAAATTCGATAAATAACAAATCCGGAAGGTACAAAGTTGTACCTTTTCAAAGTTTAGTCCTCTCCAAAAAGCTTCTCATACGTCCAAACTGCAAAAATCACCGTCCTCCCGAATTGAAACGAAATCGTGGCGTACAAATAGTCATCTCTCTCAATGTACACACTTCCCGCACGTTTCCAAAACTCTGATCCAAATACTTGATCCTTGCGGAATGACCCAGTGAGTTTCAGATTTTCAGTAGATGTCTTGATTCCTTTGAATATTTCTTCCTTGGTTCCAATGAAGTCTTCAAAAACCATAAATTCCAAATTCTTCGGTGCCCTATCTCGAATCCAGGATTTTAAAAATTGATTCAGCCCAGATGATGTGACATTTGACCCGTGGACTTTTATATAGGTGGATTGGGAATATGATAAATGCGCCCAGCTAAGCATGGTGTCATTTTGAATTACAGCAGTTTTGTATGCCAATGGAAATCCTTCATAGCCCGCTGGGGCAGTTGTAACGAAGTTCATAAAGTTCAGCCGATGAAATTTGAGTTTTATCAAATCCAATTCCTCTTTTGTTACCGTTAGTTTCGAGATGACCATTCCTGTGGAATTGACGATTTCAGAAATGTTGCAGAGATTTTGAATATCTCCTTCTGGGTCGTGAAATTTGACGGTTTCGATATGAGCAATGTCGAAAAGATTCATGAGGTGGCGGATGATCAAATCGATATGGTTGTTGCAGAAACTGTTGTAGTAATAGTCACATATTTGACGATCGTCTTTGTGGATGCTGAAAAGAGACGTCAAATTTAGTTTAACGGCCTAGAAATCCAAGTTTTGTGAAAACTAGGCTATTGGGTTTGATAACTATTGTCTTCTCACTTTCAAATCAGGTTTCAAGTTTGAAACATAACGATTTTAAAGCTAATGACAGTTAATTTAGTTTTGTGGCCTAGAAATTCAAATTTCATGAAGTCGAGACCATGTTATATATTTGGTTTGAAAGCTCTCGTCTTGTCGCGTCCAAAACAAATTTTAGATCTAAAAAATATCGGTTTTGAAGTGAGTTACGTCCATTTTAGTTTGGTAGCCTAGAAATCCAAAACTAGGCCACATTTTTTAATAATTTGAGATGAGCTTAGCTAGCTTAAAAAAGCATCTTTTGAGAATTCGATGCCAGTTTTCAGATCTGAAAAATATCGATTTTGAAGTGAGTTACGACTATTTTAATTTTGGGACAATGTTGCCTAGTTTTGGATTTCTAGGCCACCAAACTAAAATGACCATAACTCACTTCTTGATCAATATTTTTTAAGTCTGAAATATGACATAGACTTCTAAAATGATGCTCTTCAAAATCATGTGTCCCATGACCTAGTTTTCAGAACACTTGGAATTCTAGGCCATCAATCGAAAATGATCATAAGTCGCGTCAAAATTGTGGTTTTTTTCAATTTTTTTTGACATTGCTGAGTATTAAACTTACGCAAATTAAGGAGAGAAAGTACTATAAATTTTAACTTGCAACTTGTCGTAGGAATCGAACAGGACCTCTTTCAAAGATTTCAATAAAGCATCCCTGTATTCCCAGAAACGGGCCCTACCGCCATAAATCCCCCTAAAATCGATATTTTTTAACAGACTGAAATGGATATGATAAAAAAACTCAAGAGCTACAAAATTATACTACTTGGAAAACGGTAGTTTGTCTATGAGCAAAGCTATAGGCCGAAAATCAGCGGAGCTACGCGGTCACTTTGTTACAGTCCCTGTCATACTTGTAATCCGGGCCTTTGCCGAGCCTTCGCGGGCCCTGCCATAATTTCTTTCAGAAGCTATATTTTCGAACCAACTGAATCAGATATGATAGAGCTCCACGAGTACTACAAAACGGTATTATTTGGAATACTGTATCTTATCTATGAACAAAGTTACAGATCATAAAGTGGCTTTTCTCGCAGGGCCCGGCAGGCCTGGCGCGGGCCTGTTTTTTTTGCTCCTTTTTCCCTGTAACTCTGTTCATAGAAAAGATACAGTATTCCAAATAATACCGTTTTGTAGTACTCGTGGAGCTCTGTCATACCTAATTGAGTTGGTTCGAAAACATTGACTCTGAAAGAAGTTATAGCAGGGCCCGCGAAGGCTCGGCAAAGGCCCGGATTACAAGTATGGTCCCTGTAACTTTGTTCATAGACAAGTTACCGTTTTTCAAGTAATATCATTTTGTAGCTCTTGAGTTTTTCTACCATATCCATTTTAGACTGTTAAAAATATCGATTTTAGAGAAATATTTGGCGGTAGGGCCTGTTTCTGGGAATACAGGGATGCTTTATTGAAATTTTCGAAATAGGCCCGGTTCGATTTCTATGACTATTTTAGGTAAAACTGAATTTTTTTTATTGGCTTGATACTCAGCCGAGTAAAAAAACTTTTTAAAAACCACAATTTCGAAGCGATTTACGATTCTTTTTTGTTGATGCCCTAGAACAGTTTTCCAAATAGTATCATTTTGTAGCTCTCAAATGTTTATACATTAATTAATTTATTTCACCCAAAAATACTGATCATAAAAAACTATAAACCCAAACACTCACCGAAACCTCCATCGATCCTCAAATCGTTCCGCTGGTCTCAAGTTAAATGTGAACCTTTCACCTATATATGTCATGCATAATGTGTGTTTTCCTCCCGGTTCGAAGGTTATCTCAAAATCATAAACGCAGAGTTTCCTCTTTTTCACAATTTGATGCGTATTTTTCGTCAAATTTGAGATGGCTATGCTGAAAATTTTCAGGATTTCAAACCTTTTTTTTTAAAGTACTCACATCCTGAACAAACTTTCCTCCTCTTCAACTTTTTTCAAAATCCGCTCATTTCGTCTTTTCCTGAGTGTTTGGCCCATCTGAAAGAAAACTGTGGTTACGGTAGTTTTTCACATTTTTCTAATTTTCTATATATTATTCAATTGAAAAAATATGAAAAAACTACCAGTAACCTATAACTATTTTTTTTGTCCTGTTTTTTGGCTTTTTTTCCAACTTTTTGAAGAGTAAATAACTGAAAATCGATAATTGAACAAATTCGACAAATCTATTTCTAAGGTTACTGTAGTTTTCGTTTTGGGACCTTCGGCCCACAGCCACCAACTGTTCTTTTCCACAGCTCATTTTTTTTGTTTCAGATTTTTTACAGAATTTCCCGGAATTCGAGGTTTTCTGAACTTATCGAAAATTACCGAATATTCGGAAATTTTTGGGTGGTTGATTTTTGGAAATTTGGAATTTTGAGTTTCCGATTTTTTGGTTTTCAAAATTTTTAAATACTGAATTTTTCTTTTTTTTTTTAGTATATCATCGACCGTCTGGATTCATAATTTGTGTCGCATTTCTGAATTTCGGAATAATCCGAACTTCTGTAATTTCTGAATTTCCTCGAATTTCTGATAAATTTGGATTTCTTGTCTTTTCGAATTTCCGAATTTTTCGAATTTTACGAGGTTTTTTTTTCAAATTAAGTCATAAAACCTCGAGAAATCGCTTTAAAAAATTCAAGAGGAAAACTGTGCGCCGCATTTGCAGAGGAGTTGAGCTCCGCCCACATTTTAGTAATCCAAGTGTTTAAGATTCGAATTTAAAGGTGGTGTGCGGTGAAAAATTTTATTGCTTTATTTTGTGAGAAATCCATGTAGATTCCCATAAAAATAAAGAAAAAATTCAAAAAAATTCCTTCATTGAGAAAAACGGCATCGAAAAGTCAAAGTGGGAACCGGTGGCCTAGCGGCCAGGTGTGAGTTTTCTAGGCCAACTGCCGGTAAAAGCGCGCGAAATTTGAATTTTTATTGATTTTCAGTGTTTTCTCTGATTTTTGTCAGGTTTTTTCATATGCCTGG